TCTGGGTCACCATCTCCCAGTGCCTCCTGGCCCTGCCATCCTAGTCACAAGATGGCTGCCACCGCTCCAAGCACTACTCTCCCTTTTGTTTGGACAGAAAACTTCTGACGGCGTGGTGGCTCACACCTGTAATCCCAGCACTTTGGGAGGCCAAGGTGGGAGGATCACTTGAGCCCACCGAATCGGGAGCACACTGGCCACACCTGGCAGCAGCAGAAGCTAGGAAATGTCACCTTTATTGTGGGCGAACAGGAGCTCTGTAAAAATGCCCTTGGGTGGCACCTGAGGCACAGGGTGCTCCAGATTCAGTGAGTTCTGTGAGGAGGGTGAGGAGGTAAAGCTTCCTCTACCAGATCGCCTATGTCCAGCCTGACTCTTGGGAGAGCATTGACTGAGGCCCTCAAGTAGATGGGAACTGCCCTTGGGAGGCTCCTGGGAGAGCACTGACTGAGGCCCTCAAGCAGAGGGGCACTGCCCTTGGGAGGCTCATCACCTTGGCTGGCCTCTTCACTTTGCAGCTCAGAGTCAGGACATGCCCTAGTATAAGACTCCCACCAGTTCCATGATTTTGGACACGTTTCTAAATCTCTCTGCATCTCAGTTTCCTCATCTATTAAATGAGGCTAATAATGGCACCTACTTCATAGAGCAGTTGTGAGGATTAAATGAACCTATGATTGCATTCCCAGTACATGGTAAGCACTCAAAAAGTGCTGGTCCTTATTATTACAAACCTAGAACCATATTCTTTTCTTTACTATATTTTTTTTTTCCTATGAAAAGTACAGGGACTCTCTTTCAAGGCAGCAGGAGGTGGTTTCAGAAGGCAGGCCTGGGCTACAAGTCCTCCACCCCCACTTCCACCCAAAGAAGGTGGGATTTTTTTTCTGTAAACTTCCTGACCTGACAGCCTGAGTGAGTGAGTGAAGCTTCCTGCTATTAGAGACTGGAAGCCAAGTGTCTCCATGGTCCAGAGGCCTCCCTTATGTATTGCAGCTCTTTGCAGACCCAATTCGAATGCTGCCTCCTCCATGCAGCCTTCCTTGATTTCTCTGCTTGAAAACCCCCTACCGACCTAAAAGAGGTATCTCTCTCAATCCCTAAAATGCTCCTTCTGTACCTCCCACATTCTACCTGGCATTAGAATTTGTTGTATATGCCCCACAGTTCTTCTAGTCTGCTAGTACTTCCCAGGCAGGATGAGTACAGGTTCTGATTTGTATCACCTACAGTGCCCTGCACACAATAGGTGCAAAGTAAATAGGCAACAGTAGACGCATCTACCTACCTCAGCATCCACAAAATGAGCTCCGTCAGTTTGGCACATGCAGCTATAAGTAAGAGAAAATTGAACTAAGGAGGCCTGAAATAGTAAGAGCATGACTTGCCTCTTAGAGCAGAAAGTCTGGAGGCAAGGAGCTCCAAGCTGGTCCATACACTCCATGGTGTCACAGCTCTGGGTCACTATCTCCCAGTGCCTCCTGGCACTGCCATCCTAGTCACAAGATGGCGGCCACTGCTTCAAGCACTACTCACCCTTTTGTTTGGATAGAAGACTTCCGACAGGGTGTGGTGGCTCACACCTGTAATCCCAGCACTTTGGGAGGCCAAGGTGGGAGGATCACTTGAGCTCAAGAGTTCAAGACTAGCCTGGGCAACATAGCAAGACCCTGTCTCTAAAAAAAAAAAAAAAAAAAAAAAAATTAAAAAGTAGTCAAGCAGTCTCTGCTATGTGGAAGGCTGAGGTGGGAGGATTGCTTGAGCCTAGGAGGTTGAGGCTGCAGTAAGCCATGATCACACCACTGCACTTCAGCCTGGGCAACAGAGTGAGACCCTGTCTATTAAAAAAGAGAGAAAACCCTTGCTTTTATGTGTTGGCCAGAGCTGGGTTACATGACCAGCCCTGGTGAAAGAGAAGGCAGTTGCTGCCGATCATGCCTCCCAACCCAGGCTGGACCCACCACTGTGCAGACCTGGCCTTTGTTAGCACAGGAGGGATGGCTGTTGGTTGGACAACAAACCGGATCTGCCGCCGCAGCTTACTGACGCTTTCCTGCCAAGGAAATATGAAGAGGCAGGGCAGTTCCTCTAAACAGAGGGCAGATTTCTGGGGGAAGGGACCAGTGTACATTTCACAGCTCTTTAGGCTTTCATGGGTATTTTCTGGGTATTATGCCATCCCATGGATTTGGACCCACGCTTACTTTACAAAACATTCTTGTACTTCGAAAGGCAGGATCACCAAGTATTTAAGAACACGGAGCTAGAGTACTCGGTTCTACCATTTTCTTGCTGGGTGACCTTGTGCCATTTAACCTCTCTGTGCCTCAGTTTCTCATCTGCCACAAGGGGATGAGTAAAAGAATCTACCTCACAGGGTTGTTCCTGAGATTTATATATACAAATATATACACGTCATTTAAAACAGTGTCTGGCACCTATAAAGCACTCCTTAATTTGCTATTATTATATGTCATTATTTAGTGATCCTGTCACTCCTTTGAGATAGGAACAATGAGGATTTTAAGGCTCAGAGAAGTTAGACGACTTCCCTACATTCCCTCAGCTGGTGAGCAGCAGAGAATGGGAGGGTCCAGGTGGCCTGGTGCTGGGTCTGGAACTCAGGGCCCTGACCCCTGCTGTCCTCCCTACTCAGAATCGTCTGTGGACACTCGCTGAGGGTGATAGCCACTGATGGGTGACTGTTGTCCCACAGGTGATGCTTTTGTCTCTGAAATTTATTGTGAATTAGCTGAGAACAAGGACCATGTCATAACGTCTCTCTGACATCCCAGCCCTAATACCAAATAGGGCAGGAGAACATGCTGGTTAAATGGGCTTTGGTGGGAGTGTGGGAGCTGGAGAGATGGCACTTCCATCGAGGTATCTCCCCTGATGGGGTACAGTGGCTGAGGGCAGACGCTGTGACGTCACGCTGTCTGACATGGCACAGAGCAGAGGCCCACGTGTGCTTTGCCAGCCTGGGGGTGGAGGTGTTAAGAGGCCGACGCCAAGGGCCTTGACTGTACTTGCGCCTTAAGAAACTGCTGTTTGAGCACTAAGTGTTAGCAGCATAAAAAATGAACACAAATCAATTTGTGTCTGAATTTACTCTCAGAATTCCCTGTGGACTCTGTAAAATGCCATTTTACCTCTTTTCCACCCATCTAGCTGTGGAGGCAGTGGCAGATTTACATTATTTTACATCCAGTAAGGGTTTTTTTTTTTTCTTTTGGTGATGTTTTTAAAAAGAACATTTATTGCCCATAAAAAGGTGTTTTTGTTGAAGACAATAGTGCCCTTTAGGTAGTAATAGAATGCTGTTTCACAAATATTTATAAAACTATTAAACAAGCTGGGATTGTTGAAGCTCTGATTAAAAGGTGCCTCCCATTCATCTTTCTCTTTAGAAACGCCTGTGAAGTAGCTTAACTGCAGTTACCCCCACCATGAGAAGATCACCTTGTAGAGAAATAAGGCAAGACCCCAACAAGACCATAGGTGGTGGGACCGGCATTGACCCCTTCACACCCACCCCTCCCACTGGTGTGGGGAATTTAGCTTGGGACATTGCTTACAGCCTGGGCTAAGCCAGGGTTTCTGGAGGGTCAGGAGGGCTCCGGGGCTATAGGTGGAACCAGGAGGAGGGAGGGAGGATGGGTGGTAAAGCGGGGACGGCATAGCCGAGGGGTTTGTGGCACCAGTTCTGCAGTTACGCAAATCTGGCTTCAATTCCTGGCTCTGCCACTGGTGAGCTGTTCCTGGAGCAAGTTACTCAGCCCCTCCATGCCTCAGTTCCCTCACTCTACAACAGGGATGGCAATAATAATACAACCTCCTGCACCAGAATGTTGGGAGGGTTCAGAGAAATAGGTCTTGAAATGTGTTTGGCAGAGCATCTGGTCCCAGAGGCCCCAGGAAACATCCCTAGAAACGGGAGGCGAGGAGAGGGCTTGGGTGTGAGGCTTCACGTGTTGGTTCCTTCCAGATACTCTGCCCACCAGCTCCCTGCCTTCTCTCCTGTCTGCTATTTTTTGTTTCTTGTTTGTGAGCAGACAGGCCTTTGAATCCCTTCCTAGTGGGTGGCTGGCCCAGAACACAAAGGTTCTCTGAGAACAGGCAAGGGAGTGACTCTGTTGTAGGAGGGAACTCGTACAGGCCAGACAGAGATCACCAGCTAACCTCAGAGTTCAGATTCCACCGCTTTGGAGTTTTAATCATTTGGTTGAGACCAGAACAAAATTTACTCTTGCATAATTATCAACAGGATTGTAAGGGCAAGATTTAGTGGTATTTGTCTCAGCTCTTTATAAACACCATAAACTGGGTGGCTTATAAATAATAGAAACTTACTTCTCACAGTTCTGGAGGCTGAGAAGTCCAAGATCAAGAGCTGGTGTCCTGTGAGAGCCCCTTTCTCATGATGGTCCCTTCCTGCTGGGTCCTCATGGTGGAAAGGGCAGGGCAGCTCTCTGGGGCCTCTTTTATAAGGGCACTAATCCCATTTATGAAGACTCTGCCCTCATGATCTAATCCCCTCCAAAGGCCCCACCTCCAAGTACCATCTCCTTGGGAGTTAGGATTTCAATACCTGGATTTAGGGGGACATCAATATTCAGACCATAGCAGCATTAAAGGGAAGACACAGCCCTGAGAATCTCCCGAAATTTCAGAAGCCCCATATCCACGTCAGTGGTCCGTAAGTCACGGGCTCACATGCCAGACGCTGTTCTAAGAGCTATGCAGTTACTGCTGTTATGCCCTCTTTGCAGATGAGAGAGCAAGATACAGAGAGGTTACCCAGCTGGTTAGGGATGGGCTCAGAGGTCACCCAGCTGGCTGGCGGTGGGCTGGGACGAAAGCCAGGAGTCCACTGGGTTCCACTGGGTTCATTGCTGGCAGCCTCCTTCTTAGAGATACTGAGCGTGGAGTGGGCGCCCTAGCTGTTCAATGTGGGCTGAATCTGTGTGCAAATGAGTGCATACTAATACCAACAATAATAATTGTAACAGGTTTTATTACCGATATTATCAAGCCTTTCCCAGCAGCCCGGCCCTGTGCTAAGCCCTTGAATGCATGATCACATTTAATCTCCATAACAATGCTAGAAGGCTGGTACTGTCATTATACCCATTTTTAAGTTGAGGTAGGCCTGAGGGTTCCCATCTTCCATATTATTTGTGTTTTCATCTCACCCCTGAGCCCTATGCAAATCAGACATTGCCTCCTGCAGCCTCTGCATATATACCTGGCTGGTGTCCACAGGACTTGGAGCCCCCCTCCCTCCGTCTCTGTATGAGGGAGCATCTTTCTTCTGTCTTCTCCCGTCCTTCTTGCCTATTAAACTCTCTGCTCCTTAAAACAAAACAAAACAAACAAAAATTCCCATTACTTGATCATTTTACATTCCCTTATTAAGCCAGGCTCAAAACATTAAATAATTGTGCATTTCACACCATACCAAAGCCTTTCTGACTTTGTGATTACCAAGGTGCATTAGAATCTAAACTGCTATGTTATGCTATTTGCAAAATATTCTTAGCTCTTCCCTGAATCACTTCCTGTGAGGGTACGTATCAGGTAAAAGTTGGTTGTTTTAGATCTATTTGTTCTTAGGCAAAGTAAACTTGGAATTGCTTTTCAGTTCATTTTGAAAGATTCCCTAGTTCTGTGTTTTCACACGTGCACAAAGGCCTTACTTCCCCCATTAGTCTGATTCTGAAGTTTTGCTGCAGTGGGAGAATGTTAACTGACAAAACGTTAAGTAATGGTGCTGAAATGTAAAGTAATTAATGCAAGAATCATAGTATGGGGTGGGGATCTCAGTGCTTTAATGAGGGCTGGGGAAACCATCTGACTGAGGATGTTGGCAGTGGAGGAGTAGATGAGTATTCCTGTAATTAATGCTGCATATTTAAAAAGTGACCTCTTTGGGCTGGGCACAGTGGCTCACACCTGTAATCCTAGCACTTTGGGAGGCTGAGGTGGCCAGATCACAAGGTCAGGAGTTTGAGACCAGCCTGGCCAACATGGTGAAACCCCGTCTCTACTGAAAAAATACAAAAATTAGCCAGGTGTGGTGGCATGTGCCTGTAATCCCAGCTACTTGGGAGGCTGAGGCCGGAGAATTGCTTGAACCTGGGAGGCGGAGGTTGCAGTGAGCCAAGATGGCACTATTGCACTCCAGCCTGGGTGACAGAGCAAGACTCCATCTCAAAAAAAAAAAAAAAAGTGATCTCTTTGATGTGGTCAATATGGGGACCTCATAACCTTTCCTGTCACCTAGAACTTCACTTCTGGGACTCTGTGGTCCTGTTAATAAAAAAGATAATCACCAATCTGCCTCATCTACTGTGGAACCCTTCCAATTCTTTTTTTCTTTTTCTTTTGAGGATGAAATTAGAAATCACCAAATTACCATTTTTAGACTATTTACGTGTGTGTGTGTATATATATATATATTTTACTCTCAGATATATTTATTCAATGCTTGCTCTATAATGAGAGTTTTAACTTTCTGTTTTCCTTTCCATTATCCCTGAAAAGAATGGATTATGGAGAAAAGATGAAAGTAGTATAATGCAATACAGTGTTTGCTAATGTGCCGTCAGAGGTATTAGTGGGACTTGCCAAGGTTTGTGTCTTTTATGAAATGCCTTTCAGATTGCAATTATCTAATAGACTTGGAAATCTGTTTGTATTCTTGCAGGCGTTAAACGTCGTCTTTGAAAAAATCCCGGAAAACGAGAGTGCAGATGTCTGTCGGAATATTTCAGTCAATGTTCTCGACTGTGACACCATAGGCCAAGCCAAAGAAAAGATTTTCCAAGCATTCTTAAGCAAAAATGGTTCTCCTTATGGACTTCAGCTTAATGAAATTGGTCTTGGTAAGGCAGTGCGGGAGCTATGTGGTCCCAGGCCCTGATGAGTCTCCCTCCCTGCCTGCCCTCCCTCCCTACCCCCACCAGCTTCCGTTCAGTGACACTTACACAGCCAGATTGTTCCTGGAGGGCATGTCTAGGGGCCAAGAGACTGCTTTGCTCTCTCATGGGCATCCTGATTCTTCGAAGGAAGCACAGTTCTTAAAAGATGGCGGGGTTTTTTTTTGTTGTTGTTTTTACATATTACGTCTGTAAATCAGATTCATGAGATTGCAGACCCTGAGCCCGCACGGAGTCACCTTGCATCACGAAGTACAGAAAGGTGTCAACACGGGGCCCTCTGCGTGTGTTGCATTTCATATTGGCACTTGATTTGTTTGTTGTGATACTGAGCGTGTCATTAGTGGGTGCCTCAGACTCTGGGTGTTAACTCCAGCCTGCTAGAAAGGTCATCTTCCTCTGCTAATCACATCCTGTATTAAGTATGTGCTCCGTCCTCCCCCAGTGTGCAGCAGCATCTGCTATGAATTCATTTTCGGGCTCTATTGGTATACTGCAAAGGAGAGCATATGCGTGAGCAAGCTAACAGGGCCCCACTTCACTCAAATGTTCATCAACATTTTAAAGTTGAGCTCCGTGCAGTCCTCCCAGGAGACTGTCGTGGGATTTTATAGCAAATAATGGGACAGAAACGAAGAATAACATCATGGTGGTGACAGACAGTGTAACGAGGTTCACCTCCCCTTGATGTACAGTTATAGGCCTTGACTAAGCAGACAATTAAAATCCTCCCACTCGGCCCTCCCAGTCCAGCCCCCTGCTAAAAGGCCATTGAGAAAGCTTTGAGGCAGGGTCTTGGAAGTTTGAGACCATGCAAATGTGGGGCAACTTGGTGGTGATCTGGCTTTAAAGAAAGTAGGGCTGCTAAGGCACCCCTCTTCTGCTTCCTTCCTTGGGTGACTGTTGAGCCGCTTGAGGACCATTTTAGCTCATTTGGTTAGATACAGGATCAGAGGGGGAGCCCCAGCCAGGAAATCATGACCCCGACCCCAGACCCCCAACTTCCTTGCCCTGAGCATACATCTTGCAAATGTGTGGCTCTCACTACAAAAGACATGGGCATACCCTGCCCAACAGTCTTGGTCCTGCCGCTGATGAGCAGGTAGTAGCATCCTTACTCTTTTCCTGAGTTTGGGTGTCCCTTGCCTCCTAAAGTAGGAAGGCAAGGAGCAGAGCAAACAGGGAGCCTGGGGACACAGCCTGTCAGCCGTGTCAGGCTTCTGCATGCCTGCTGATTTCCCAGACTACCTCCAGGGCTGGTTTCTGAGGCAAAGCCATCAACTGTATTGAAATCCAACACCAGGCTGGACGCGGTGGCTCATGCCTATAATCCCAGCACTTTGAGAGGCCAAGGCAGGCGGATCACCTGAAGTCAGGAGTTCAAGACCAGTCTGGCCAACATGGTGAAACCCCGTCTCTACTACAAATACAAAAATTAGCCAGGCATGGTGGTGCACACCTGTAGTCCCAGCTACTTGGGAGGCTGAGGCAGAAGAATTGCTTGAACCCGGGAGGCAGAGGTTGCAGTGAGCCCAGGTTGTGCCACTGTATTCCAGCCTAGGCAATGGAGGGAGACCCTGCCTCCAAAAAAAAAAAAAAAAAATCCAACACCAGAGGCAGCTATGCTTGGAGCTCTTACAGCAGAGGCTCAAAAACACAGATGCCCAAAGGGGCAGAAAATACATAAGGGGTGTCAGCCACCTGGGACTACAGAAAGCAGTGGAGCTTGACTTAATGGGAAAGGTCTCGCCATCCAAGGGGACAGTGCCATTTGCTTCAGTGATTGCCATGTGGAGCGCAGATTGTGTTGTTAGACTGTTAGTTTTTTTTTTTTTTTTTTTTTAAGAAATCAGATATCCAGTTTTTTATATGCAACTTAAAAACTTTTAAAAAAATTTTAGAGAGACAGGGTCTCACTATGTTGCCTAGGCTGGTCTTGAACTCCTAGCCTCAAGTAATCCCCCTGCCTCAGCCCCCCAAAGTATTGGGATTACAGGCCTGAGCTGCTACATCCAGCCTATGTGCAATCTTTTAATCTTTAAATGTTGGCACTGAGTCGACACTAAAATAATAAACATCATGCAGGTTCCAAAAAAAGAAAAATCACATTTGTGCACCACATTCTGACCTAGGCACAGGTTGGCAGCCTTGGCCAGACAGTCTGCACCCTGTGGTGCTGGGACGTTCGCACACTGATGCCTCCCCCTTCACCCCAAACAGGAGCCTGCAGAGATGGTTCATATCATGCCTCTCTTTGTGAACGTGGCCACACAAGTGTGAGCATATACAGATTTGCTTCTGGAATTTTTGTTGAAGAGCTTAGTCCCTCATAGAATGCATTATTTTGTCTTCAGTGGCTTTACTTCCAGGCTTATCAGGGAAAAAGTGGTTTGAAACATCAGAGCCCTAAACAAACAAAGAAAAAAACAACAGAACTCAGAACTCAGGCTACTAGTCTGGCTGATAACATCTCTACACCTTCAAACAAAGATTTACCACTTTATTCAAGTTTTAGTTATCCGTAAATTTGTGAAAGTGGTAGCATTTTAAAACTCTAAAAAGGAACAAAATGCTCTTTTTCAGAGCTTCAAGTGGGCACACGACAGAAAGAACTTCTGGACATCGACAGTTCCTCTGTGATTCTTGAAGATGGAATCACCAAGCTGAACACCATTGGCCACTATGAGGTAACAGCAAGACTTGACCCCCGTGTCTCCTTCCTCATCCCCAATCCTAGTCTCATGAACATTCTTTTAAAACATCCAGGACTCCCACCCATTTCCTGGAATAACTTGCAGATCAGTTGTGTCTGGGGTTGAAGTTTTTTTTCGTTGCTTGTGCAGACAAGCCCATGAAGGGCTCTCACAGTGTACTTGGTGTTCCCTTCTCAGAAGGCTATGATTTTCCTATCTCCTGAACTCTCTCCACCCGGAGGTTCAGCACCTGCCTAGGAAAGCCAGAGAAGAGTTATCCTTTAGCCTCCACTGGGTGCCAGGTGTGCTGATGCTAAACAAAGCCCTGGAAGTCCCAAGCCTCGCCTCCCTCCACAACATTCACAGTAGGCCTTGTAACCTTTTGTGTAGGTCCTTTCTTCCTGAAGAAGTTCTAAATTTCCTGTTTGTTTGCAATATTGAGCGATACTTCCTTTGGCCTCTTAACCCACATACTGGGTGAGTGCCGAGGGCGGTGAGGGGTCCACGTGACTTCTCAGAGATCTGAGTGCCAGAGAAACCTGCACATAATGAGAAAGGAGGCAGGGAAGGTTCCTGAACACACTGGGATACTGGGGTTCACTTGTTTAGCAGTATTATCTGAATCTTTGTTGAGTATCCACTCTGTGAAAAGAGCTGGGGCTGCATGGGAGAGAAGCAAAGACCAGGTTCCTGCCCTCACAGAGCCTGCAGCCCTGGGGAAGGGGTGCAGAAAAGGAGGGAGAGACAAATAAAGAGGCAACACCTTGTGTGTAACAGTGCTATGTGGCTTGGAGAATCCAAGAGGCTTCCTGGAGGAGGTTATGACTGAGCTGAGACCTAAACAATGAGGAGAATTTAGCCAGACTGAGCTAGGGTGCAGGCACGTCCAGTAAGGAAGGGAGAGCATGCGTGTTAGACTAGCCAAAACTTGAGAGGGGCAATGGCGAGGGGGAAGGAGGGCAGTGACAGCTGATTATAGCCAGTGCTTATGAAGTACTTACACCACACTAGGTACTGTTTCCAGCATGTCCCTGTAATGTAACTGCCCAGTGGGTTCATCTTGCCCATTGCCTAGACAGAGCTGATTTATCAAGACAGGAATTGAGATAAAGTAATTCGGCTGTGTGGAAGATGGGAGTTTTATTATTACTCAAATTAGTCTCCCTGAGCGTTCAGGGATCAGTTTTTAAGGACAACCTGGTGGGTTGGGGGAAGCCAGTGAGCCAGGAGTGCTGACTGGTCAGATCAGAGATGAAATCATAGGGAGTCAAAGCTGTCTTCTTGCACTGAGTCAGTTCCTGGGGTGGGGGCCACAAGATCAGATGAGCCAGTTTATTGATCTGGGTGGTACCAGCTGAGCCATCAAGAGCAGGTTCTGGGCCAGGCATGGTGGCCCATGCCTGTAATCCCAGCACTTTGGGAGGCCGAGGTGGGCAGATCACCTGAGGTCAGGAGTTCGAGATCAGCCTGGCCAACATGGTAAAACCCTGTCTCTAAAAATACAAAAAATTAGCCGGGCATGGTGGTGCACGCCTGTAATCCCAGGTACTTGGGAGGCTGAGGCAGGAGAATTGCTTGAACCTGGGAGGCGGAGGTTGCAGTGAGCTGAGATGGTGCCATGGCACTCCAGCCTGTGTGACAGAGCAAGCAAGACTCCATCTCAAAAACAAAAAAAACCAAAAAACAAAAAAAAAAAACACCAGGTCTGCAAAATATCTCAAGCACTGGTCTTAGGTTTTACAATAGTGATTTTATCCCCAGGAGCAATCTGGGGAGAGTCAGAATCTTATAGCCTCCAGCTGCATGATTCCTAAACCATAATCCCAATCTTGTGGCTAATTTGTTAGTCCTATGAAGGCAGTCTAATCCCCAGGCAAGAAGAAGGTTTTGGAAAAGGGCTGTCGTCGTCTTTGCGTTAAACTATAAGTTCCTCCCAAAGTTCAGTCTACACCCAGGGATAAGCAAGGGCAGCTTGGAGGTTAGACGCAAGATGGAGTTGGTTAGGTCAAATCTCTTCACTGTCTTCTAACACATCTGCTTCACTGTCCTATAACAGTGAAAGGCATCTGAAAGGTGTTTTTCAGATGCCTTTCACTGTTCACCTTTCAGATGTCTTTCACTGTTATAGTTTTGCAATGGCGGTTTCAGTATTTTGCCCCATTCTATCCTATAGCAGTCCTATGAGTCCTATTATTAACCCCACTTTATAGATGGGTACGGTGAGGCTCAGGGAGGTCTCATAACAGCTAGTCAGTGGCAGGGCCAGATTCGGGTCTGGATAGTTGGCTGTAGGGTCCGTCGCTGAACCAGTCCGTGTTGCGGCCTCTTACAAGATGTAGGGGCAGGGAGGCAAGCAGGGAAGACGCAGATCACACAGATGGGAGCAGCCTCTTCAAGAGTTCTGAGTCTTATCCCAAGAACAGTGGGAAGCCATGGGAGGTCCTGAAGCAGGAAGGTTAGTGTTTCAGAAAATGATTGGGGCTGTGTGTGAGATGTAGATAGAAGGGGTGCAAACCTGGAAATAGGGAGCCCCATTAGAAGCTGTGGGTTTCTGGTGAGGATTGGTGCTGTCCAGCAATAATGCAGTGGCTCTGGACAGACACAGACACACAAATGGAATCGGATGCTCAGGAGGAGGACACCACAGTCATGTGGATGGGAGGGATAGTAGGACGAGGGTGCGTGGGGCCAAGGATGTCAGTTGGGGATGACTGTGCAGATGCCTGGAGGTAGGTGCTTTCCTAGAGATGGAGAAGACAGGAGGAGGAGCAGCTTCCCAGCACACTGGGAGGGTAGGCACCCCCAGTTTTTCACAGCTGTACAGTCCCAGGGAGACAGGTCTGCACCAGGAAGGACCTAGGACTCTGCCAGGTTCTCCCCTTGCCCAGGAAGGAGAGAGACTGTTCCTGAGCAGAGCTTCTTAGACAATGGCCAGGGACAGAGAACACCCATCCTTGGGCTGTTTGGCTGAGTGGGTCACCCAGTTTGGAAGTGGTTATGTTGGGTGATGACTAAGGAGGTGCTGCCCCTGCAGCATTGCTAGAGGGAGTCTAGCAGAGAAAGTCGCAGGCTAGCAACTTGCCCCTGTGCTCACTCTCCTATAGCTCAGACTTGCCAACCCTGGGATCATCTTGCCAAGAGCAGTCGTTCTTAGCTTTTGGAATTCATAAAACTCCCCAGGGAGTTTTCTAAAAGTGTGTATTCTTGGGCTCAGGAATAAGGGGCATCTTTGGCTGTGTTTGGAAAAACACAGACCCAGAGGGAAGGTAATGGCCAGGAGGAGGTCAGAGTCAGAGGTGCTGCCCTGCTGGGTGGAAGTGCTTATCATGGCATCAGTTCAGGGTTCCAGACCTGCAGGCCAGCACCTCTCCCTGTGTCTGGGTGGCAGGCTTGTCTTGGCGAGTTCAGAGGGGACACAGCCTCCAAGGCCCTCCTCTGGTGCTGTTGACTGGAGTTCTTGGCTTGCTCAGCTGTGCCTCCCGCCAGGCCTCTCAGCATCCCTCGGCCACCGTGGGGCATGGGGTGGGCCGCAGAGGCAGGGGATGGGGCTACTCACTGCCATTAATAGGAGGAGGCAGGACAAGTCTCTCCAGCAGGGAGAATGAAGAACCACCACAGCTGTCTGCAAGGCAAGGGGGAAAGCCTGTCAGGAGAGATAGAACATCAGTCTTCACTGCAGACATCGGCCGTGCTAGACACCTATCTGCTTAAGGATGATAATGAAATTAATCCGGCCTGTAGTCACTTCCCATCCAAATGATTTATTGGCCTCGTACCCCAGTGTTGCTGCATGGTGGTAATAAATGACAAGCCTAGGACATGAGGGCTTAAAGGATTCTCCTTATGTTTAAAAAGCTAAGCCATAAGGCAAATAAACCAGAGAGCCTGAAGGAAACGGGAGGTCACTGGGCTCTGTGTTCTCTATGCCTGGACCATCTCAAAAGCTCCGTTTTTCAAAGCCTGCTTGGAGAAAATAATCCCCCACCACCCTCAGCCACCTACATCTATACTTGATTAAGCAGCGCCTCCGCAGACTCAAAATTTGGGAGTAATTTGACAGGGCTGGTCTGAAGTTTCCTTTTACCCTTTCGTTAAAGAAAAAATTTTCTCTTGAGCACTAGCATTTCCCTCCAAAGAGACAAGATGCTAATTATCAGTCTTATTCATTTACTAAAGTACCCTAGTTTGAGTCACTGTATGTGCTTAAAAGCAGAAAAAAAAATTTTTTTTGTCATTAAAAAATTTTTCATTTAAAAATAGGGTCTAATTCGGAGTTTTAAGTGAATCAGACTCACCTCCCTCCAATTAGTCCAAATTAGTTAGGTTTTAAAGTTAATCTGTAGTGACGGCCAGTTCCTCCTACTATCTAAACAAAGTCCCTGCTGTTGGAGAGCCAGCCTGTTTCTTCCTTCCTTGTCTGTCCTTAGGGCAAACACAGTGTAGCTGGTCTCCTCTGAATGATTTACTCTCAGCACATTTGAAGAACAGGTTTCTAGAGGGGATCTGAGGGCACGACAAAAATATAGCATCTCATGGACTAGATGCAGCCCCCAGAGCCCCACATTGCTGGCAGGGCCCTGTCACCTACTGGCTGACACCCTTGGCAACCCCCAGCACCGTGGAATTGCTTTCCGTGACGATAACCATGGCAGCCAGTGCGTGGCACTGCTCACGCGAATTAGCTCAATTAATGTCCACAAAAACCCTGGGAGGCAGGTGCTTTCCTTACTCCCATTTTCCATCTGATGCACACAGAGGAGGGTGCATTTCTGCTCGTGTCATTCTGTCATGTGCAGACAAAGGGTTAAGCGTGTCTTTACACATGAAGCCAGAGGACTCTTTCTCCCCTATAATTAAACCCTCCCAGCGCGCTTCCTTAACTGGATGTCATTCTGTGTGCGTTGACTATGAAGGGGGCTGTGCTTTGCTCTGGTGCCAGCAGGGTCTGGGGCACATGCACCTGCATGTTCAGGGAGTGGGGCATGCTCGTCCCCTGTGACTGTGGCAGGGTGGTTTCTCTGGGGTCCAGCCTTCTTTATCTCACTCGCACCCTGCTGTGACCTTTGGCTGGGCCGAGTTATCGCACCTGCACCCTGCTGTGGAGTAGTGGTGAGTGTGCAGGACAGGCATTGGGCAGGAAGTCTTCTCTAAAGATCATACTTCTAGTTCTGAGCTGCAAGGTTTTGAGAGGCAGAAGAGTTGTTTAACTGCTGTCGTTAACAGATGTGTACTAATGCAGAAGTGGTCACTGCTAACAAATTTGTAATTCAAAAGATATTTAAAACTCATAGGAATGTCCCAAAGGGTCTGTTAAGTAAGGTCAGCGATCCTTCTAGTCAAGTCCATCATCTGTGACACTAAAAGGGACTGCACAATCACTAAAGGTCTGCTGCAGTGTGGATGTCTTTAGATATTCAGTTAACAAACACGTATAATGCTTCTCGTGTGCTGGGCACTATTCTAGGGCTTTGCCCAATAGCAGCTCTTTCCATCTTCTTTACCGCTCCATGAGATGAATACTATCAGCCCCATTCTGAGGCCCAGGAAGGCTAAGAAACTTGGCCAGAGTCATAGAGCTCCTTCACTGATGCCTCAAGGCTGAAAGCAGATGAAATAAGCACTCTAGAGACTGGGGCTCTGCGCAGGGCCTGAGGGATACCTTCCCCAAATCCAGGCTTTCAGCCCATGCTCCTAACCTCCGAGGCAGCCTGGCTAGAGAGCTGGGCCTGATTGAGGAGAAATCCTGGTAGTTACATTCTCTAATGTCAAATTCATAAAGGGTAACTTCTCTTAAAATCCCAGGACAAATCTCATGTCTTGAGTTTATCAAAATGCTTCCCTACTTCTACTTTAACCCTCTTTTTGGCCAGCAGTCCGTGAAGATGACAGTTACCTTCATCCAAAGGGAGGCCTCTCTCAGGCATCTGGGCTCTGACAACCCCAACCCAACCGGATCACTCTTGAGTCTTAAGTGTTCAGGGCTTCGCAATTTCCCACACATTCTTGGCGGCCCAACTCCCTCAGGAGGAAGACAGTCTCAGGGTTATCACTAATAGTCTGCAGAGGGAGCTGGCTAGTGGCCTGAAGGTTAATTTCAAGTAAACAAGAGAGAAGCAGGAGCCCTGTGGCATTTTCTCTGGTTTCCAGCATCCTGTAAGCCCTCCCCTGGGTGTCCAGAACCTTCTGTGTGATTTGACCAGCCTGTGGAGGATGTTCTCATGGCCCCTTCCAATGCACTGGTGAACCCCTGTGCTGAAGGACTCGGCAAGGTTATCCCTCAAGCCCTGAGAAACAAGATTTTGTTTTCATCAGTTTCCAGCCTTGGGGCGTCAGTGAGAAGAGCTGAGGGAGAAGACGATATTGACGGAGGGACAGCAATATTGGCGTGTGGCTGCCGGGACAGGATGTGGAATAGAATTCTGTTTTCACATAATATTGTTTCAGCAGAAAAGGTGATTTCAGGAATGAGAGATTTCAGTCAGAGTTTCTGTGTGGTGATTTGATTATCATGTTTTTAGATTTTTTTTCTTTAAATTATCACAATATTCAGAACGTATTCATAATTTTTCATAAAATTTATAGCTACAATGCTAGCATTTCTCTTAGGCGAAGCCATATGAAATTGCCAATAGGTGACCATATTTACCTACAAAAGTAGTAGTTTCATAAGGTTAAACATAAGTTCAACCTTACATTTCTAGAAAATCTCTTTTCATGGAATTCTAAGTTATGCCATAAACATGGTATCTTATAAAGAAATCTTACCTTCACTTGCAAATGGTTTGGAAGATATGTAGCTCCTGTTTATTTTAGAAATGACTTTAAGTTGTTGATATGGGTCTGTTTCTCCCTGAGTGATTACAACTCCTCACTCTAATGATGGGAAAGTCTACAGTCCATCTCTGACGCTTCTAACGTGGGGTGGCCCCAATTCCCCTCCATTGATGATTGGAGGGGAATCGCCTGTTGTCACATCGAATCTTAGAACACTGTGAGACTGGAAGGAATTTAATTTGAAATTGCCGTGCGTACCAGTTCTGCTCTGGGCTGGAAAAACAAGCCTGCTGCAGATCCAGCTAGTGACATTAATCTTTCTTTGATTTAATTTGGTTTTCATCCCTAAAGTAGGGGCCCAGAGGATGCTCCCTGCCTCACAGGACTAGGGGACGATTAATGAGTCACTCTTAGAAAAGCATTTGGAGCTCCTCAGATGGAACAAACGGCATCATCTTTTTAACACTCTGCATTCCAGGGCACTTTTCAAAAAGGCGTTTCTGTCCTTACCTCAGCAGCAGCTGACTTGTGCTAAAAAGAAAACGGAAACCTTTCCCCCACAAACATCTGTAAATAAACTATTTTTCTGTCTTTATAATCGTGTTAAAGTGTCACATGGGGGAAATGTTCCAGCTCTAGAGCAGCTGTGAAAGTTAGAAATGCACACACACACACAAACAACTCATCCACTAATAAAATGCTTCTACACTTGCTCTTGGGAGATAATTTCAGAGTAAAATTTCCTTGGTACAAGCTGTGTCTATGCTATCTTAATGCCTGAGCACAGCACCAGCAGCGGCCTGTTGCCAGCTCTTGAAGAGACATTTGAACTTTTGGCAGCGCTCCTTATCAGAAGGCCCATCCGTGGTGTTTGTGATTATAGAGTAAGGGTGCTCGCTTTTGGCAACACAAAGCGTCTGACAGTAGTGAAGTATTGGCTCAACACTCAATGGGAGACATTTGGGATTCATTCTTTGACAATTACCCAGAATGAATCACCAGCTTCCTTTTATAAAAGGATATTTATTGGCTTAGAAACAGAGCATATCCAGTTCTTCGTGGGGAGGAATTTTGTAACTATGTTCAAAGCTTCTCATAAACTCAGTGTCTGAGTATTGCTAAGGGGGTGCCTGCATAGAGCATTTGCTTAAATTGCATCAAATATGGAGGAGAATTGAAAAATCAGCCAGCAAACAATAGCTAAAGGGGAAAAGGAGAGGATGCTCGGTAGTAGAAGCAGAGTCGAAGAGCTCAGTAAGAGTTAAGAATCCCTGCTGGAGACACTTTGCAGAGGCCTGATGGCCCCAGCTGGCCCCTGTCTAGTGCTGCCCCCACCCCACCACCAAGATATCATGCACACCAGCAGTTGGAGGCCTCTGGACTAAACTTAGTGGCTGGCTGGACACAGCTGGCTGGACAGCTGTGTTTGAGGGCCTCTTGAGGGCTGGCTCTTGCTCTGTGTTCCTCCCTATGGGTGCAACCTGAAGGAGATTAGGTTTTAATCCTTTGGTGCTTGCTAGGTGAGCTTGTACATTCTGATAACCAATGTGCATCAGGCCAGAAGAGAAATTCTAGGTTTCCACTCTTTCCAAATTGGGAAGGCCAGGTCCAAATTAATATTAGAATTGAGAACAGCTTTGGAGCTTCAGAGTGGAGGGAAAAGTCACTTAGCTGATAAGGTTCAGAAGTGACAGGCAGAAGTGACAGGGTCAGTCCTCCAGAATGAAGGGGATTTGTGGATCTCTGACCTGCCTCCTCCTTGCCACCCCTTTGTCTTGTAATTTTGTGAATGAGCCCCTCCTCCCACAGAGCCAGGCCTGCCCCTAGCATCTTGGCATCTTTGTCCCCCTCTGCCTGAAGGGCACTTCCTTGCCTGGGGATTTGCGAGTGCCCATCAGGGTGTGGGGGAGGGGCACTGTAGAGCCACTTGACCCTGGTCTCCATGGTCCCAAAAGGTCTCAGGTGAGAACGCCTGACTTTAACTCCAAAAGAGGCAATATATACAGAGGACTTTCTTTGTCAAATGTATACATTTAAAATCTGTGGCAATTCTTATCAGTTCTATTGAAGCATAATTTTTGAGACAGGGTCTTGCTCTGTTGCCCAGGCTGGAGTGCAGTGGCACAATCATGGCTCACTGTAGCCTTGATCTCCCAGGCTCAAGCCATCCTCCTGCCTTAGCTGGGACTACAGGCATGTGCCACAATGCTCGGCATTGTTTTGTTTGTTTTGGTGGGGAGAGATGGAGATCTGAGTTCCCCAGGCTGGTCTTGAACTCCTAGGATCAAGTAATCCTACTGCCTTGACCTCCCAAAGTGCTGGGATTACAGTCATGAACCACTGTGTCCAGCCAAAATATAATTTATATTACCATAAAGTTCATTTGTTTAAAGTATACAATGCAGTGGTTTTAAGTATACTTATAGAATTGAGCAGCCATTGCCACAATCTAATTTGAGAACATTTTCATCGCTCCCGATGAACCCTTGAATTCATTAGCAGTCATTCCTTATTTCCCCCACCCCTGCTTTAGCCAACTAGTAATCTACAATCTATCTATATAAATTTGCCCATTTTGGACATTTCATATATTCTTGTTTTTTGTTTTAGATTCGTGGGTACATGTGCAGGTTTGCTACAAGGGTATATTGCATGATGCTGAGATGTGGGCTTCTATTGATCCCATCACCCAGACAGTGAACATAGTACCCAAGAGGAAGTCTTCCAGCCCTTGCCTCTTCCCCCTTCCCACTTTTAGAGTCCCTCGTGTCTATTGCTCCCATCTTTATAGACATTTCATATAAACAGGGCCATACAATATGTGGTCTTTTGTGACTGGCTTCTTAGCATGTTTTTGTAGTTCATCCATGCTGTAGCATGTATCGGTAATTCTTTCCTTTTATTGTATGCCAATTTTTGGTAGTATATTGATACTACATGAACTAATACATAGTAATAAAGAATGAACTACTTGTAGTTGCAACAGGAATAAATGTCATAGACCTTATATTGACCCTCAAAATCTAGACACAGTACATACTGTATGATTCTATTTATGTGATATCCAAGAACAGGCGAAATTCATAAATGGTGATGGAAGACAGAAAAGTAATTACCTCTGGATGAAGATGGGGTGGTCACTGTCTCGGAAGGGACAATGGGAGCACTTTTCAGGACCTTGCAATATTTTATATCTTGATAAAGGCGGTGGTTATGTCAGTATATATTTAATGTGAATAGCCATCAAGCTGCACACTTAATATTAGCAAAAGTTAAGCATGTCCCACATGTTATGCTTAAATTTCAAAGCTTTTATTAAAAAGTATATGCAAATTTTGTGATTTTACAAGCTTTTGAAAAAATGTCACAGGTTGAATATCCCTTATCCAAAATGCTTGGAACCAAAAGTGTTTCAGATTTTGGAATTTGCTTGGATTTTAGAATATTTGCATATACATAATGAAATATTTTGGTGACAGGACCCACGTTTAAACACAGAATTTATTAATGTTTCGTAAATACCTTATACACAGAGCCTGAAGGTAATTTTATATAATTTGTGCACAAATCAAAGTTTTTATAGGGTTTTGACTGTGACGTGTTATCATGAGATGAGGTGTGGAATTTTCCACTTGTGGCACCATGTCAGTACCCAGAAAGTTTCAGATTTTGGAACATTTTGAATTTTCAGATTAAGGATGCTCCACCTGTATATACCTATAGAAAAATAAATAAATTATAAGCGTACTGCTGGATGAATTATCACCAAGTGAGCACGTCCTGAAACTACCACCCATGTCAAAAAATAGAAGCCCTCTTCTGGCCTTTCCTAATCACTGCCACTGCTCTCGTCTCCAAATATCTAACATGATAGTTTTGACTGTTTGGGTTTTTTTTTGTTTTCAAGCTCTATGTAGATGGAATCATTCAGTATACTTTCTTTTCTGTCGAGCTTCTTCTGCTCAACATTATGATGGTAAGATTTACCCATGTGGCGTGTAACAGTAGTTTGCTCATTTTCATTGCTTTATAATCTGTTGTATGAATATGCCCCAAATTATTCTAATGATGGATGTTTGAGTTGTTTCCAGTCTGGGACAATTACAAATAGCTCCCTATCAGGATTTATACTCATTTATGTGGACTAAAGACCTACATGTGAAACGGCTCTGTCATAGGGTAGACACCAACTTCATATACCACAATTTCTGAAAACCTGTTTCAGCATTTCTTAATAGTAGAGTAGTGTCATAGTCAGTTAGGGCTGCTTTAACAGAATACCATTGACTGGGTGGCTTAAACATTTCTTTCTTAATAGTTCCAGAGACTGGAAGTTCACAGTCAGGGCAAAGTACTAGTAGCTCGGTGAGGACCCTCCTCCTGGTTTGCTGAGAGCCATCGTCTTGTATCCTTGTGTGGTGGAAAGCAGAGGGGACCAGCAAGCTCTGCTGTCTCTTCCTTTTCCTCCTCTGTTTAGAGATAAGGTCTCACTCTGTCGCCCAGGCTGGAGTAGAGTGGCACAGTCAGGGCTCACTGCAGCCTTGAATTTCTGGGCTCAAGTGATTCTCCGCCCAAGCCTCCCAGGTAGCTGGGACTACAGGTGTGCACCAATGCGCCCAGCTAATTTTTAAATATGTTTTTGTAGAGAGGGGTCTCTGTATGTTGCCCAGGCTGGTCTCAGAACTCCTGAGAGTGATCCTCCTCTTCTTCCTTCCAAAGTGCTGGGATCGCAGGAGTGGGGCACCATGCCCGGCCCTGGTGTCTCTTATAAGGGCACTATTCCCATCATGAGGGCTCCAACCTCATGACCTAGCCTCCCAAAGGCCCTACCTCCTAATACCATCACACTGGGATTAGGATTTCAACATAGGAATCTGGAGGAGACACAAACATTCAGTCCACAGCAAGTAACAATTTTTTAACCTCAAAAAATGAAACTGGCCTAGGTCTTTCCTGGCCTCTGAGAATTGGGGGGAATGTCCTAACAAAGTTCAGTCTTCCCCTCTTCCAGGGCTTGCCCACCTTCCCTCTGTCCCACAGAGTCCTGGCCTCCACCTTCTGCGTACTACCCTACTGCCTCCCATGGCCTCATCAGCCTCCTCCACAGGACCATGAGCCCCTTGAGGACAGAGAGACTGTCTTGCTTGTCATTTAGTCCCAGCCTCCAGCGCAGTCCCCAGAACTTAGTAATTCTTGATAAATATTTGATTTAATAAGTGAGAGCATGTAAGATCCATCCAGCCATCTAATTCCTAGGTGAAGTTGAGAAATCCATTAAATTTTGAAAACTCATATATCTTTTATCTTTGGTTTCAGATATCGAATGGATCCACTATAAAAGTCTTTAAGAAGATAGCAAATTTTACTTCAGGTAACCAATATAATATTGTAACATTTTGTTCTCACCCAGCTTCATAAAGTATTGCTTTTTGTCTCTCTCAGCTGTATTGTCACAAAGGTGAGATTGAGTTGTTGCTATGTAATTCTCTGAAAGCTGAGAAAAGCCATTTCGATCTCTTTCCAGTCCTAAGAATGTGATCCCTGCAAGAAGGAAAGGAAACTATAAATGGTGGTTGGCCTGGACTGCCCAGCACTGAGGAAGTGGCTGCCTCTTTATAGCCCTAAGCTCAGGGCACAATCTCATAGCTTTTTTCTAACTCTTTAGAAGGATGGGGGCTAACAGAGGAGATCCCCCTGGCAAACTGAGAGGGAAGAGTACAGATAATCATCACACAGCCCCAAAGCAAGCGCTGAACCAACAAGATAATCCACTTAGAAGGTCCAAGTCTCCTGTGATAACACTTGCGAAATTCCCAGAAATTGGAGAGAGACAAACTAAAGGGGGAACTTTTATGGGAAAGTCAATAGGCTGGTCTCTAAAGTGATTTTCTGCTTCCCTGATAGCCCTGGGGCAGGAAATTCCTGTTCCAGGTTTGTCTCCAGAGAAATTATACCCCAGTCAAGATAATCAGCTTTCAGCCCTTGAAAAGGTTCTGAGCTCCTACCAAACAGGCTCCTTTCACAAAGCCAGAGGTAGGGCTTCCTGACTCCTGGATTCACTATATTAGAAGGAGCAGGGAGCATCTGGTCAGTGCAAACAGGGAATGTGGGGCTCCTGATTATATAGACAGGATGACTGGGTAGGACTCCTTTGGGGACACCCACCTTCCATCACTACATGGGGCTGTGGTGAAGCCGTCTTGCAGCGTTGCTATCATTCCAGCTTAAGGGGGATGGTGTCTTTGTGTTGAAAAGTGGAAGAGCTGTGGTTTTTAGGTTTCAAAGATTGGGCCTTTTGAAGAGCCTGTTATTTGGGGATTGAATAGTAGAATCTTAGGTTTGGATCTCTTCGTGGGCCCTCCAGTCAGTCGGCACTGCTGCTAGTTCCCGTTCATTGCAACTGAGAGCCACCATCTTATCATCCTGCTAATACTCTGAACCTCCTGTACCTCTGTCCTATCATCAGCCCCTCTGTCAAAATCCCAACCCTGGATGAACCCAGCGATTATCTTTTCCTGACCCTACAGCTAGGGAGCCACAGAAGAAAGGCACATAATGGCACACTGGGGGTCACTATAAGTTCACGGTGCCCAACTTGACTAGGGTCCTCCACACAGCCTGCTCTCATTGGGTTTCTCTGGGCAGCTCATCTTTGTGTTGTCCATAATGTCTGCCTTCTCTCCTCAAAGCTTTGACCCACACAGCTCTCCTCTCAGCAGATGACTTCACCCTGCACTCTTTACAGAGAAAACAAATCAGAAGTCCCTCAACAGCCAATACCAAACCTACCAACCTTACCTGCACCTGCTCATGGGCTGACTTTCTTCCATTCAAGGCCAGTCTCTCACCTGTGCTTTGGGTTCCATCATCCTTTCCAACCTTCTCTATCCTTATACTACCAGTAATCTCTTTTCTCACCTGTACTTTCTTTCCCTCTCCATCTACTCCCCATTTTCCATTAGCATTTCAAGATGTGCTAGTCTCTCTCATCTTTAAGACAATGTCTCGCTATCGCCCAGGCTGGAGTGCAGTGATGCAATCATGGCTCACTGAAGTCTCAACCTCCTGGGCTCAAATGATCTTCTCATCTCAGCCTCCCAAGTAGCTGGGATTACAGGAGTGTGCTACCATGCTCAGATAATTTTAAAATTTTTTTGTAGAAGGCCGGGCACGGTGGCTCACGCCTGTAATCCCAGCACTTTGGGAGGCCGAGACGGGCGGATCACAAGGTCAAGAGATCGAGACCATCCTGGCTAACACAGTGAAACCCCGTCTCTACTAAAAATACAAAAAATTAGCCGGGTGTGGTGGTGGGCGCCTGTAGTCCCAGCTACACGGGAGGCTGAGGCAGGAGAATGGCATGAACCCGGGAGGTGGAGCTTGCAGTGAGCCAAGACTGTGCCACTGCACTCCAGCCTGGGCGACAGAGCAAGACTCCATCTCAAAAAAAAAAAAAAGAAAATTTTTTTTTGTAGAAATGAGGTCTCGCTATATTGTCCAGGCTGGTCTTGAAATCCTGGGCTCAGGCGGTCCTCCTGCCTTAGCTTCCCAAAGTGCTGGGATTACAGATGTGAGCCACTGAGCCTCTCTCAACTTTAAAACAAACCAAATGCTTTACTTCCTCTCTTCCCTCCATTTACCACTCCCTTACCCTTTACAGCCACATTTCCTCACTCTGCACTACTCTCGGCTTGCTCTGTGAGCACCACCTCATTGTCCTTTGAGATCCTAGAAAGGGTCAGCTCCTTCCTACCTTTGGGCCTTCCTGCAATTTGCCTAGCTGACTCTATCTCTTCATTAGATTCAGCTCAAACATCCCTTCCTCAAAAACTCCTGGACTAGATTTAGTCTCTTGTTAGATAATTTCCTAGCATATAATTCTCCTTCATAACCTTTATCACAGTTATAATTGTGTACCTAGAAGTTTGATGTTTCTCATTGGCTAGAATGCAAATTTCATCAGGGTGGGAACTAGGTCTTATTCACTGCTATATGCCCAGTAGTCCCTGGCACATAGGAGGTGCTCTAGGTACATTTGTTAAATGAATGAGGCTTGAGTCTCTCCTACCAGCAAGAGATCAGAGATCACTAGGGAAATCTACTTCCCCCTCCAATCCCTAGCCCGTCCCATCTTCACGCTGTTCTTAAGATCTTAAGATGCAGCAGAGGGAAAAATGTAGCTCAAGTCAAAAAGCTCAAGTAACTTCAGTATATAGCATAAATGGGGCTTTTTATGAGAAGACCAATTAGCCTATGGTTGGCTTTTTTTTAATGGACTGCTTTCTCTCCCTCTTTCTCTGGCGTTCAGATGTGGAATACTCAGATGACCACTGCCATTTGGTGAGTTCAGGCTTTCTTGTGCTCACCGCTGAATTGCATGCCTTCTGTAGCATGGATGGTCTCCTTGGGTAACGCTTCTGCTGTCTTCCCTTCAGATTTTACCAGATTCGGAAGCATTCCAAGATGTGCAAGGAAAGAGACATCGAGGGAAGCACAAGTTCAAAGTAAAAGAAATGTATCTGACAAAGCTGCTGTCGACCAAGGTACACTTACTGTTCTGGGAGCACTTGATGGCTACCTAGGGGGTGTATGATATGTTTGACTTAATTTCCACTGAAGTGTGAAAATGTTACAAATCCCTTGTGCCTTCTAGCAAAGCAAAATGAAAGTTTAAATTGTAAACACTTCCTACCCCGTTCTTCTTTTTATACACTACAAAGATAATAGCACTTTACAAATTTGTGCTGTAGTATCTTCAGTCAGAGATTTAATATTGTTCCCAGTATCTTTCCCTACCATTTCATTATTATTGTTATTTTTTAGGTTGACAGCATAATTATTCCTTTTTGTTTACTTGTTATTATAGATGTGCAATAAAACTCCCTTTTTGAATTGCAAATAAAATGAAGAGGATGGGAAGGGTCAATGGCTATAAACCTACTAAATCTTACTGATTTTTGTTTTTCATTTTAAAATTAAGAATTCTGCTCACACATAAAAGTGTCAGATGTGAAAGCCGGTGGAATACCAAACTGGGAGCAAATTTTACTTTATCTGGCTTTTAGTGGAATTAACAGAAGTCTGTGGTGATCTTTTTTTCTCCCCCTCTGGAATGATGAGCGCTATAAATGCTATTATCTACACTTGGCCCCAGTAACTTGATGGGCATGCTTCTTCAGATTATAACAAAGAATCTGCTTAGAGCTTAGGAGATTTGTTTAGTGGGCAGAGGACAGTCCAAGCCTCTTGATTTTCTCAGCTGTCCCATAGAGCTCAGCCTATTTGGCTTTTGTAAAATACTCAAATGCTTTGGAAAGTATACAATAAAACCTTATGATAGAAATATATGCAACAGGAAAAATTCTGGGAACAGAGCAGCATCACTTGAGCTTTTCCAGGCTGAACATAACTAATAAAAGCTAAATATCCGTGGCTTCCTGGTTTATGTAAACAGCCCTACAACTGACATTTCAACTGCTAGAGATTTCTGAGATATCCTCCCAGTTGACTAAACAATGTTGTTATCAGCAAGAAGCTTATGAACCACATCTCAACCTGGGCATGGATTTTCAGGACTTTTGTCCCATACTGTGAGCACTGGCCTCATTTGACAATTTTACATTTTTCTCTTCAGTTTGTTTTTCCCTGTTTTGCACATTATTTTCCCTGAATTTGGATTAGATTTTGCTATTACATTTTCCAAACCACTACCACAGTTTTTAATCTCCCAAATCTGATGTTGTCTGTCTTTCAGGTGGCAATTCATTCTGTGCTTGAAAAACTTTTTAGAAGCATTTGGAGTTTACCCAACAGCAGAGCTCCATTTGCTATAAAATACTTTTTTGACTTTTTGGACGCCCAGGCTGAAAACAAAAAAATCACAGATCCTGACGTCGTACATATTTGGAAAACAAACAGGTGGGAATGTAGGTGATTATTGCCTGTTTTCAAGAATCTGGGACAGAATATTAACTAAAAAAAAGACAGATAGTTACAGAAGGATTCATTTATCTCTATATCAGAATCTTTGGGCTTGGTAAGCTATCATGTCAAAGTAGTTTCTTATTCTGTTACTATTTTTAAACAATAAAGGAAACTATTCCTATGCCAAGAATCCTATTCTTGAAGATAAACTGTTATCTTTGGTGCATGATAAAGACTTTGTCTCGAATGTTAAGTTGACCAGCAAAGAATGAGAAATTAATATTTGTGATTTTATATCATTTTTGCATTAGAGAAAATGTTATGATAAACAATTTTTATTTCCTAATCAGTTACTTTGCAGTCCCAAACTGTCTATACTCATTCTGTACAGATTTTTTTTTATTTTATCAAGTGCAGTACTCAGATACTATGGTAATTAGCCAAAAGTCTGTGTTTTGTTTTGTATTTTAAATATTTTACCTTAAGCACAGGCAAGGTATCCAAATTTTGTCTCCTCAGTAAAGAAATGTAGCTCATGATCTCTCTTTGAAATGCTGTGTGCATGGGCCGGATAAGACTCAGTTATGATGAAGTAGAACTTCTCAGTGCAAGCCCAAGGCTTTCCAGGCACTGAAGGCAGCCAGGTCACTTTAAATGAGTATCAAAAGCTGTAAGTTTCAGAGCTCTAGGTCTAATCTCCCATTTAATCCAGATCTATCCCAATTCTCTACACTGGCTTGCTCCCTTCTCTTCCTGTGTTCTGGCGTCTTTTTTTGAGACAGGGTCTCCCTCTTGTCGCCCAGGCTGGAGTGCAGTGGTGGAATCTCGGTTCACTGTAACCTCTGCCTACTGGGCTCAAGTAATTCTCCCACTTCAGCTTCCCAAGTAGCTGGAATTCGAGCATGCCACTGCACTCAGCTAATTTTTAAAACTTTTTGTGAGATGAGGTCTCACTACATTGCCCAAGCTGGTCTCAAACTCCTGGACTCAAGCCGTACTCCTGCTTCAGCCTCCCAAAGTAGTGAGATTACAGGTGTGAGCCACTGCCCCTAGCCTGTTCTAGCCTCTTATCTGTAGTCCCTGCCACTCCCAACCACTCCCACATCAAGCCTGGGAGCTGAGGACCACCATTCCACCTTGAAGATTGTGGCATCTGAGCAGGGCAGCAGCCAGGACAGTAAAGCTATTGGGAGACCCAGCAGCATATGGTGGAGATAATGAGCTGGGCCAGAGTTGAAAAGGAGATAATGGAAGGACTCTGAACCAGTCCCAAGTTCATGTTCGGGTATTTGAGTACCTACTATGGGCCAAGCAGTTAGGTGCTGGAGATACAGTAACAAAACAGATGAAAGTCCAGGTCCCATTCTAATAGCTGGGGACAGACACTAAATGCAGTATGTAAACAGTAGTACATTAGCAGATGATGAGTGCAATGGAGAAAGTAGGAAAGGAGGCTAGTATGTGTCAGGACTAGGTGATCCGAGAAGGCCTCACAGAGATGGTGACACTTGAGCCAAGTCTTGAAAGAGGAGAGGGCATAAACCATGAGACTACCTGAGGCAAGAGTTTCAGGCAGACAGATGCCAAGAGCACAAGTTGTGAGGCACATGCTTGCTTGACCCATATGAAGAACAGCAAGGAGTATAGGAGAGTTGGAATGAGTGTGGTGAGGAGCAGTGGGATAGGAGGGCAGAGGGCCAGGTCGTGCAGGGTGTCCAGAGGGGGATGGACAGCCTCAGAGGGTTGGAGCCGAGGAGAGACATAGCCTGATTCTGTGTTGAGAGGACTGCTGATAGGCGAGAACAAACTGTCAGGGAAATAATCCAGGTGAGAGAGATTATATATAAAATCAAGAGCTATCTGGAGAAAATTCTTGTCCATGGCCATTTTCAAACTTACCCTCCTCTATCCTCCTCTTCAGTAGCTCTGGCAGTTAACCCTTTCTTGTTCTTTCCAAGTGAGCTTCTGTCTGTCATTTGGTATGTTTGCCTAAGCAGAGTTGTATACTTCAATAACAAGGACAAAAACACTCGTTTACAAACTGTGATAAACAGACCATTGGCTTCATGAATGGCCCTATTTGAAAAGAGATTATTCTCTCTTTGAACAGCCTTCCTCTTCGCTTCTGGGTAAACATCCTGAAGAACCCTCAGTTTGTCTTTGACATTAAGAAGACGCCACACATAGACGGCTGTTTGTCAGTGATTGCCCAGGCATTCATGGATGCATTTTCTCTCACAGAGCAGCAACTAGGGAAGGTAAGGCCCAGCTTGAGTATTTCCTGTATGAGTCTTATGAGTTTGACACACTTGTCTTTCTGATAAGCACTAAAATAACAATTGGTCTAAACTACACCAGCTAAAAAGAAATAGCAAGGGCCACTGTAAATTTGCTGTTCTTTAAAATCTGTCTCATTTTTAATCTAATTTTTTAAAAGGGAAAAACAAAATAATTAGCCCCACCTGACTGCAGAATTCTGCCCGTGAAAAACTTTATCACAAAGTATGCGTTTTGTTTCCTAGAAAAACATTCTATGGACACTGATAAACTGTTAACCCAAAATATGCAACTATTGAAATTTGCCTAAATAAATTCTATTTGAATATACATAAAATGCCTATTTGAATGTAACACATTGCTTATGGGACAGAAAATCTTGCCTGAGATTTCTAACAATGCCAGTTTGTCTGTTTCTAATCAAAGCATGAGTACTGTTTTCCTATGGTTTTCTTTGCTGATCAAAAGTCCCAAGAACGCAAAGAAAGATAAAAATACAGAGCAAACTTTGAAAGAGATGTTTTGGTCTTATTTGAGCGCTCCAAAATATACGAAACTGAGCAATATCTGTGCCTAATGGATCTTTGAACACTGAGGAGGAGCTCTTGGGTGGGACTTTAAGAGTACCTGGAATGAATGGAGACTGATGTTCCGTAGGTGCCTCAGACTCCCAGTCATAATCTAAACTCTTTATCATCAGTATTTCTGCAAAACAAACCTGTTTTTACTTTTGTCTTCCCTAGCATTGCCTAGTCTCTCAAGGTAGAATCCTCAACGTTATCTTTGATTCACTCCTCTTCCTTCCAACCTCTATCCCCAAACTATTGGTTACCACTCACTTCTGTCTCAAATGTCTGTCCCTCCCTCCTCCTTACTTAGCCTTATCACTTAGCCTTATCCCTTCATCCCATCCCTACTGAGATAATAATTGCTTCCTAATTGGGGTCCTTGCCCCTGCTGTCTACCTATCCCCTAAACTTTTCCTTTTCACTCTCTCTCAGGTAATCTTTCTAAAACATAAATCTGATGTTGTCAGTCTGCTTCTTAAAAATTGCAAATATTTCCCATTACCACCTACCAGCTAAAGTCTTCACAGTGCAACATAGTGCTTCCTGATGGCCTTCAGCCCTCTTTGCTGGCCTCGTTATTTTCTTGCACACTCCACATACCCACTGTGCTACAGCTTTTACTTTTCCCAAGTTCACACCATGAACTTGTTCTCACACCCCTTTGCTCATCTTTCCTGTCTTACAATCTGTCTAGTAAAATCCTCCCCATTCATTCATCATAAACATTTTATTCATTCAACAAACATAATTTCCTAATGAGGACCAGAAACTGTAGGAGACTCAGATCAGTCTAAATACGCCTACTTTGTGAACTTCCCCAATGTATTTCCTACAGTACTTTCTTCATTTGACTAACAAAGTTCATCTTAGCTTGCAGCACACTGAAAGGCACTTAAATGTTTATTCACACTAAAAACATTTATGAATTATGTTCTTGACACATTTCACTTAATCCTCACAAGTACCAAATAAGGTAGTTATTATTACCCTCATTTTATAGATGAGAAAATTGATGTTCTGGGAGGTTACAAGTCTTGCCTGAAACCACACAAAGTAGCAAATTATGATTTCTGATTTATCCAACTCTTTTTGTCAACTCCTGCTGCCAATTATTTGTATCATAGTAAGCACTTCGTAAATCTGTCTTTGCAACTAGATTGTAAGCTTCTCAAGGGCAGTCACTGGTCTTCATCATTGTACTCTCAATGCCTGCTCCAGTGCTTGCTTAATAATGTTTACTGAATGAATGAATGATAGCATGATTTCTGGGTTCCACTTAAATTTGACAAATGAGAAAATCTCAATAATATCTCAGTCTCTAGGCATCCTTCAGAATGATTCATCAAGCCATTGATTCAGCCTCATGGGCTGGGACATTAGACCTATTGTTAACTTACCTATCTTTCCTGGGTAGAATTTTTTAAAGTTTTGTGAAAAATAATGACTTTTAAAAATAAAATCATATTTAATTTTTAAATATCACTGTTATAATTATGTAGAAACATTCAAACTGCCAGGGAACCTTTGCAAAATCACACATCAGAGCCACCCCAATACTAATGACCATGTGTTCCCTTGAAGAAACTGGAAGATCTTTATAATCTAATGAAATAAAAGGGACAAGCTGGAAAATCTGCCACTGCCAATTACTTACCAGTTTCATGGTTATATAAAGGGCTCAATCAGACCTACAATCAAGTCTTTTATAAATGCCAAATTCACTGGTGGGTGAGGATGAGAGCAAATGTTTTAATTCAGGCTTTTTACAACCATTAGTAATGAACTATGATTGAAATAAGTTCCATTGTTACAGTAACTCAAAATCATGCAAAAATAATAATTTTAGTTCTTTTATGAGAGGAAGGCAGAATATATTAGCATTTAATCTGCCTGAAAATAACAGTGACTCACCAGAACTATCTAGATAGCAGTCAGTCATTCAGTCAACAACATTTAAGGCCTATTGCATGAAGCCTTCTAGCAAGAGGTAAAACTGGTGGTGGGGGTTCAGCTACATTGGTGTATTATAAATTCCTCCCCCACCTTTTTTTTTTTTTTTTTTTTTTTTTTACTGTTTTGGTGATGGTTGCTTTTTTTTTTCTTCCCCAGGAAGCACCAACTAATAAGCTTCTCTATGCCAAGGATATCCCAACCTACAAAGAAGAAGTAAAATCTTATTACAAAGCAATCAGGGATTTGCCTCCATTGTCATCCTCAGAAATGGAAGAATTTTTAACTCAGGAATCTAAGGTATCATTAGAAAGCAGAAATAAGCTTATATTTGGTTACTTTAAGTCATTTCAGAATCTCTCAACAAGTCTTTCTTTTAGAAACACGAAAATGAATTTAATGAAGAAGTGGCCTTGACAGAAATTTACAAATACATCGTAAAATATTTTGATGAGGTAAGATTTTAAATAACATTGTTTTTAACCTATGAATCAGGCACAAGGATGTGGTTATAGCATTCTATCAGTTTCAGAACAGCTCTGGCATCCCAAAAGGCCAGAAAGGGAAGCCAGGAAGCCTGTCTGAGATGGGGGATCCTGGCACTGAGCCAGACCCTGCACATGGCTGCTCCTCTTACAGTTTTATCATGCTGCCCACATTTGGACCAGCCTGAATGTACATTTGAGTTCATGGGGCCTACAGTCACACTGATTCAAGTTAACTTTGATGAGTAAGTAGTGGCCCTATCAAATGGGGTCAGCTTATGCTTGATTGTAATTTGCTAAAAATGAAAGCTAAGCTTGTTAAATTGCCTAGATTCTGTATTCAATCGTTATATGAAATTATGACATATTTCTAACTTAAGCAACTATTTCAATAAACCATTCTCCTTTATGATTAATTCTCCTTAATCTGGGTTTTTTTCTTTGGAAATTCACACAGACGCATTCATCAGATGCTTTGTTTCCAAACAAATGTTAACTCCCCCTTCCCTGATTCCCCCCCAATCAGTCATGCTGGGACAGGCTATCCATGTCAATGGTGAGAATAGCTCACCAATTCCATTTGCTACTTGAAGATGAAGTGAAGCTCTAAGGTAGGGTAGAGGCAATGAGTTCTTAAACATGATAAGCATCCCTCGTTCCAGGGGTCAGGGGAGAGAAGGGAAGCACTGGGGAAGGGAGGGGAAGAGGAGGGACTACACTGCCCAGATGGGAGGGAAGGGAAGGATCTGTCTCTGACCAGGATGTCCTTGCCTGCTGCATTTAAGGAGAAATACTTGCCTGCATGTTGGCTGCCCAGGAATGCTTGCTGTGCTTGGAATGGCTGTGACATAATGCATAAAGCAGGGCCTTGGAAGCCTGGCCCCATATTTGTAAGCAAATAGTTGGTATTTCTTGCGAGCTTCTATTTTAAGCCAAGGTATTGTTGATCCTGTGATAAGGACTTAGCAAAACAACTTGCAAAGTGAGTATGTAAATGATGGAAGAAAATGTTGGCGTCTGTTTCATACAGATTTTACCACTCATAGCATCAGGTATGCAAAAAACAGAATTGTAATGCTAAAACCACAATATCTAAAATAACTGTTCTAATTGTCAACAGATTCTAAATAAACTAGAAAGAGAACGAGGGCTGGAAGAAGCTCAGAAACAACTCTTGCATGTAAAAGTCTTATTTGATGAAAAGAAGAAATGCAAGTGGATGTAAGCACTCTGGGGCCTGGCTTAATCTGGCAAAGTTCTTCAGACGACTTGGGAGCAAAATGGCTGCTTGAGCTACTCTGTGTCGTTAATTTCTTGTTTGCACATAGGTTCCACTTTGAGCACTGTCTTTTTAAGAGACCAAGGCACATGCACAGCTTTAAAAAAGCATACCAACCATTGTGCCTGTGTGTCTACTGTGGGAACCCTTCTGTAAATAGAGTTGAAGTGGTTGTTGCAAACAGTCTCCTTGTTTACAGAGAATACAGGGCCAGTAAGCGAATGTCAGTATTGTAACTACAGTCTCCACTTAAGCACAATGATATAAGTGGTTTTGTTTGAAAACTACAGCTATGTAGCACTTGTGCTACACTGTACCTCTGCATTGTAAAGGGATGCTGCCAGTGCTCAAAACAAAATGTGAAATGAGTCATTTGGAAACAAGGTGGGGGTGTTAGGGCAACCTCGAGGATTTGCAGCATTGAAACTTTCCCCAGTAGTTCTTGGAAAAGCCGACCGCAGAATTTGGTAGTGTACACTTAGCATTTGTGAGTGTGTGTGTGTGTTTAAACCAAAAACTAACAGTGTTGCAACATTGTTGAAAGGGCTCGTGTTTTTCAGTGGTCGTCAACTGCACTCCATCAAACTCACCTCCATTTCACCAAGGAGCTCTAAAGTAAGGAGAGTGGGCTTTATTTAAATGAACAGCATTTTAACCAGATACTTTGTCTTAATGTATGTTCCTTTTTTTCCCACCTATTTTTTCATACTAAATGTATTTGATAGTGGACATGTTGAATATTTACAAAAAAATCAATTCATTTCTGTTTCAAAACCTTTGATCAGAACGATCTGTGGAAGAGTAACTCCATTTCTATATGAGTGTCTCCTTGCTTTAGATTTCTGGTGAACCCTGTGGTTATGAATACTTGTGTGTGATTTTAAAAAAAAGATACATTTTACATTTCATCGAATTGCTGTTCACACTGGAGTATTATATATAAATATATATATTTGAGGCCCAAGGCCTGAAAAGTATTAGTATACAACTTGGTATCTTAGTCTTACTATGTACTTTTTGAAAGTATTCCTCGCAGGAGAAAGAATTTAAAATACCCATTTTATTCATGCCTTTCTTTTTAAAAAATTCTCTATCCAGTTATACTGTAGTCTTTTTAGTGCTGATTTTTTATTCCTGAATTTTTGCTGCTCATGACCAGTTTTAATACCACTGTGTTTTCCTTCTATTAAACCAGAAGAAGTAAACAGCATAATTGGCAACTCTTTTCTTGTGGCAGGCACCTTTTACCCTTGGTGCTCCAAATCCCCCATCTAGGAAAGAAATTTTTTCAAGTCAAATAACATTGATCACATATTCCTTGAAATCATTTACCAACACTGTATGGAGCATTAGGATTTAAATATGAATTTGTCTTAGATAAAGGCAATTCCTTTTTGCTCCTGAATTATCTGGAAAATTATCTGGAAAAGCATGAGAGATCAACAAACTGATCAGAGAAAATAAGCAGTTACTACCCTGATAGACACCTTCCCAATCCTGTTGCTTTTGACCATTGTCTGTCCAACGGACACACCTCAAACAAAACTACCAAATAGGTTATAGATCAGAATAAAGGTGAGAGGTCTGGTCCCCATCTAAGGCTGCTACAGTCTTCAAAGAGGCGAAGGAGTTCATAAGAGAACAACAGTAGGAGAGTTGAGAGCCAAGGGTAGGAGAGTTGCCCAAAAGACTTCCCCTACTTTAGGGTACTGAAAACGCAAAGGATCAGCTACAGCTTTATCTAAGTATTTACTGAATGCTACATGAGGGTGTCCCTGTCCAGCTTTCTGACACATGAGTCCTGTGTGGAGAGTTACCTCCTCTTCCGGGGACTGTGCTGTTGGGAACTTTGGGCAAGTCACTTACCTCTTTGTGCCTCAATTTCTGTATAATATTTCTAAGCTACCTCACTGAGGTGGTATGAAGATTCACTAATGTATGTAGCGTGTTTGTCAATCCTCCAGTGAAAAGCACTATCTAGATCACATTTTGGATCACATTAGCCAAATGCAGTAAATGGCCAAATTAGATGTGTGCTGAAGACAATCAGTCACTGGGTCTATATTAAACAGCAACCAGAGCAACAAATGGCAAACAATTTCTATTTTCAAGTTTCTTTGCATATTTTTTTGGTGCAAAACGGTTCATTTATAAACTTTTTTTTCTAACACTAGTGTCTACAGCAGCATTCAAAAAATTCTGTTACCTTTTCTGTATTAGGATTTAAAGTCTATTTCTTATTGTATACCTGATTGAAGCTGTTCTTGGAGATGAATGTTTTAATGTCTATACCCAAAAAAAATAAACATTTTGATGTAACTGTGGACTGTCTTTTTTTTTTTTTTCAATTTTCTAGTTATAATAGGTTTTTTATTCTAAGTGGCTCCATGGAAATTATTTTTCAGAGACAAGGTGTCACTGTATATGCTGTGAATAAGCAGCTATACTATGTAGTAAGTAAACCTAGTTTCTTGCTAAATGGTGCTAAGGACTGCTCAATTACAATCCTGGCCTCCACTATCAACCTGGACTTTTGACTATAAACACCTTGGGATAATGAACATTCCACTTAATTTGGGAGACTTGAGCTTTAGCCTTGTTAACATGAAATTATTCCAGCAGAATTCCTCTAGAAGATACCACATTAAAAAGGCTTCCAGTGGGTGTAAAAAAAAATGAGAGCATACTTAGGGACACAAAACACGTAATTATTTGGTTAGAGCTACAGTAATGGGAAGTAAAGTTAAATACCAACAATGTTTATAAAGGGACCTGAGTTCAAGTTTTATAATCAATGGCCCCCTTGTTAATAGAGTAATATGATTTAATTATTTGCACTTATTTTCTCTTCTAACAAAGCCAAAGTCAGTAGACGGTCATGTTGCTAAATATATGCTATATGGTTTATGTAAAATTAAACACAAGACGATATAGATTAAAAAAATATTAAGCTCTTTAATAAATTATGTATGTGTACACAGCTTTTAGAAAAGGTAGCCTTTTGAATATAGATACCTTTACCTTCTTTATGCTGACTTTTAAATTGTCATCTTTTTATATAGTAAACCAGAAGATGTGTACGGACCCTGTTATTGCCAAGTATCCCAAGGATGAAGAGGGAATTAATGATAGTTATATTTCACTCAAAATGCCAAAAAAAAATTTCAACAAAGTAAAAATTTTAAAACTTGACTCTAGTTCCTTTCATTCTCAAACCATTGTCAAATATTCTAAATATCTCTGAGACTTTCTCTTGTAATGCTTCACTTGTATAATCCTAAAATCCTGACAGTCATACAATACAGCATGTAGTAGTAGGTACCTTTTCTTGAGGCACATTCAAGTGTTTTGGCAAACAGTAAAAAGTATCTAAATGCCACAGGTTAAAACATCAAGTTTTCCTGAGTCACCAACTTCACCTCTTTTGATCTGCCTGTTCTCCAAGAACATCATTCTCCAGAAGATCCAAGTTCCTCTAGTTGTTTTCTTTGTGTTGTCTCCAGTTCTTCTAGTCTTTTGCGAAGTAGGGAGAGTTCCCTTTGATGTTGTTCCTCCTTAAAATGATGTAGAGAAAGCATAGCAAAAGAAACTATTAAAAAACTAGTAGAAAAATAACTGTTAGGCAGCAGCCTTGGACTGCCTCTTTTATATATGCCTATAATATGTGGCAAGGAAATGTTGACCACCGTAGCAGTCTAAAAACAGTAGCATGGGCTAAACTACCATCTAGTTTTGCTTCTCTCCTGCCTCAGGCTCTAGCCTTAAGCAAAACCCATAGTCTGTTCTTCTCTAAGTGTAAAATTCACCAGGGAGTGAATTAGAAAATACTAATGCAGGGCCCACGTATACTTACATGGCATCCTTCCAACAACACTGGTGTTTAACAGCAGTTTATTATATAATAAAGCACTTGGCCTTAGATTCAATTCAGTGATTAAAATCTGTGCTTACATTATAAAATGTAATTACTTATTAATACTCCGTCTTCTGAAAATGAATCAAATCTGATTCCTTCAATACCTCAGGGGCCTGATACAACAGAAAGAGCCCAGGTTTTGGATTCAACAGGTTTAGGTTTGAAACTTTGTCACTTATTAGCTATGACCTTATGCAAGTCACGTCATTCTGAATCAGTTCCCTTACCTATGAATTAGGAATAGTAATATCTGCCCTCAAAGCATTTTTTCGTTAGTATTAGGCATTGCACGGAACATGCAGTTCACTGCGTTAGTAAATTCTCAGTAGTAATTAGTATTAACATTATGAATAAGCTACAAACTCTAGGTTACTCAAAGACTCAATCAACTTTCCTCTTTTCTATTGTCCAGTAAGAGATTTCACTCCCAGCACCATCACTAAAGGATCATGATTCAAACTGAATTCAGCAAATTTCTAGGCTAAATGAAAGGGAAGAAGTTAAAACTAGTTTTAAATGTTTATGCCATTTTTGTGGTGAATTTTGAGCACTGACCAAAGTGATAATTTGAGTTTTATCACCATATTTAAACATTAAAAACCTACAAAAATGTATGACTTTTTTTCTAAAAAAAATAAATGCTCATACCTGCATATGAGGAGGAAATGGTAGTTCCATGCTTGCAACCATGGCTGATGATTGAAAGCTAACAGGATTGATAGATGCCGTTGGAGGCATGTTAGGGACCAAAATTAGACTTCGAAATTCATTATGTCTTCTCTGTATATCTTTTAGTCTTTTTTGAAGCCTTGTATAGTCTTCAAAAGGAACATTTTGTCTTAAAAAGAAAAAATGTTTATTTAATATGGTTATACCCTATTGAAGCACAGTATGATTCACAGAATATAATTTTAAACTGGAAGAGGATTTCTAAATTATGAGATCTATATATAATATATAGATAAAAAATCTGTTTACCTAGAAAGATAAACAGAAACATGACATAACATCTTACTCATTAGCAATCATTAGCATTGCAGACTATCAACTCATTATAAAGTTATATTTGCTAATTAAAGACCTAAAATCTTTTGATACTTTGGTACTCACTCCTACCCTCCCACTCACTCCCATTCATGAATCCTGAAACTAAAGGGAGACTCTAAACCAAAAGAGTGCCTTATCTTACAGAAAGAATCAAATAAAAATACAGTTCATCCCTCAGTATACACATGGGATTAGTTCCAGGACATCCCTCATATATCAAAGCCTATGCATACAAGTCCCGCAGTCAGCCCTGCAGAAACCTGCATAATGGAAAAGTTGGTTCTCTGAACTGGAGGGTTTCACATCCTGTGGAATACTATATTTTCTATCCACGTTTGCCTGAAAAAAAATCTGCATATAAGTAGATCCATGCAGTTCAAGCCCATGTTGTCAAGGGTCAAGTGTAAAGAAAATGCTAGATTGAAGCTTACAAAATTGCCATTTTTAATAGGTGAAATATGGTCAAATATAGAGATTTTCACATAGTTCAATCTAATTTTTAAAATGTCAGTGTGATATTATAGTAAGAAATATATATTTGGTCTTTGCCCTTGGTTCCTGGCACATAGCTCCTAAAACTCTGGGAAACTGAATTGATAAGAGTATCTTTTGTATATAAATAAGATAACTGGTGGCTGGGGGCCCCTGAATAGCTTTAGGATGATCGGGCAGGTCACCAGAAAGATTGAGGCATGATTGGAGGGTTGGAACTTTCAGCCCCACTCTCCAACCCCCCGCCACCGCATGACATCTGGGAAGGTAAAGGGCTAAAGGTTGAGTTGATCACCAACGGCCAATGATGTAATCAATCATGTCTATGTAATGAAGCCTCCATAAAAATCCAAACGGCTGGGGTCAGAGAGCTTCTGGATTGCTGAACATGTGGAGGTGTCTGGAGGCAGGCATGCCCAGAGAGGGCATGGAAACTCCATGCCCCCTTCCTCATACTTTTTCCTATGTATCTCTTTCATCTGGCTGCTTATCTGTATCTTTTGTAATACCCTTTCTAATAAGCTGGTTAACATAAGTTTCCCTGAGTTCTGTAATCTGCTCTAGCAAATTAATTGAACATGATGAGCAGATCATGGGAACCCCAATTTACAGCCATTTTTAGCCAGTCAGTCAGAAGCGCGGGTTACAACCTGGGGCTTATGGCTGCATTCTGAAGTGGGGAGCAGTGTTGTGGGACTGAGCCCTCTACCTGTGGGATCTGATGCTAAATCCAGGTAGACAGTATCAGACCTGAATTACAGGACACCTAGCTCGTGTCCACTGGAGAACTGATTACTCCATGTATAGGAAAAAACCCCAAACATCTGGTGTCAGAAATGTTGTGCTGACTGTGTGAGAATAGGAAAAACACTGGTTTCATAATAGGAAAAAAAAACAGTGTTTTTCCTATTATAAAAGGTAATCACAAAGGTGAAGCTACACAACTTTAGGAAAAACGACAAGGAGAAAAAGGCTAACTTTCCAGGCCTTCACAGATCATCATTTTTTGGACATGACTTTCAATAACCATTAATCACACCAGTAATCAAATATAATTTCAAAATCGCTCAAAATTCTAGATGATCTGCACCACAGCTGGCCAATCTTGAATTGCTAACGTTTCAATATTAATGTTTATGGAAGAGGAAGTACGCTGAATTCTGTTTTAGAAGGACTGAGCCAGGAATGGTGGCTCATGCTTGTAATCCCAGTGCTTTGGGAGGCTGAGGCAGGAGAATGGATTAAGCCTAGGGGTTCGAGGCTACAGTTAGCTACGATTGTGCCACTGCACTCCACCCTGGACAACAGACCAAGACCCCATATTAAAAAAAAAAAAGAATTGAAACAAAATTCAAAATTACAAGTGTGTTTGTAATTTACAAATTACTACCAAATTAATAAACTAAAGGTGGCTTCCTACTTTGAAACATAGTATTATAAGGCTGGCACTAATTCTACAGTCTAGAAGCCTCTAGAATGTTCTTTAAAAAACAATTGTTCACCTTTTGGTAATAATTGCACCCAAGAACACCAGTGCACATCATAAAACATCACTGCATGGTATTATAGGCAGTTTCCACTACAGAAAAACCTAATACTTGAATAGCTAAGGTGCTAAAGGCTACCACTAATTCACTAAATTAAAAAGATTTTTCTTAACTCGAATCAAATGTGTCACATAATGCCACTACCAACAATTTAATATGACAAATCTCTGCTTTAAAAATGCTGATGATCCTGATTATCAGATGTGCTTGAATGTGACTACAAAAGCTCAATAGTATCTCCACACCAGGAAACCAAAACTGACCTTTGATTCAAAGTTGCAGCCACAATTTTCAGAACTATACAATAGCTACAACTGTCTTGTCTCAGCAGCAAGGACTAACACCACTCCTTGCTACCAAAGCCAGTGACACTTTCTGTTAGTCCCAACCATAAGGCATGTGATAGAGACCTGGCATGTGATAGAGACCTTTTGGTTTAAAGGAACATTCAGTTAGGGGGTAAAAAAAAGGATAGTACATTAGGAGTTATCAAGTTGTCTTAGAACTCTTGTAAATGTATATTTTAAAAGAAAAGAAGGTACATTATACTTAGAGACAAAGTTCTATGACCTCAAAATAACCACATGGGGTAGATACACATACAAACACATTACCTATTTAACACCTGATTTTCTGTTTCCAATTCTTCTTTCTTTGCCTCCAAGACTTCTACTTTCTCTTGTAGTCTTTTCAATTTGTTTTCATGGAGAGATTTTCTCTAGGAAAAGATAAATATGAACAAGTATGTTAACACATAATCTCTTATTTGAATAAAACTATATAGAAAATATTTTACTCACTAAAAACTGTATTTAGATATGAATGTTTTCAGTGAATACTAGAAACAAAGATTAGTAGACATGGCTCTTTCTGAAAATTGCAAAGATAATAAGCCACAAATCTATCTAATATTCTCAATGTGACAATTATGAATGCCAAACAAAAAAATTGGTATCAATAATTGCTGCAAATAAAAAAATCTACAAAGGGAAGGAGTCAAATTTTACTACCAAGTCTGCCTTTACATCTGGTAAGAAATAATGAGTTCTCCATTGTCCCAGAAGATAGCATGTGTTTAAGAGAACTAAGCCAGGTACAGTGGCTCATGCCTGTAATCCCAGTGCTTTGGGAGGCTGAGGCAGGAGGATGGATTAAGCCTAGGAGTTCAAGGCTACAGTTAGCTATGATTGTGCCATTCAAGAACCCATCTTAAAAAAATAAAAATAAAAGGTGGGGGGGCGCGGTGGGGCGGGGCGGGGCGGGGCCGGGGGCGGTGGCGGTGGCTCATGCCTGTAATCCCAGCACTTTGGGAGGCTGAGGCGGACAGATCACAAGGTCAAGAAATTGAGACCATCCTGGCCAACATGGTAAAACCCGTCTCTACTAAAAATACAAAAATTAGCTGGGCGTGGTGGCGGGTGCCTGTAGTTCCAACTACTTGGGAGGCTGAGGCAGGACAATCACTGGAACCTGGAAGGCGGAGGTTGCAGTGAGCCGAGATTGCGCCACTGCACTCCAGCCTGGCAAAAGAGCAAGACTCCGTTTCAAAAAAAGAAAAGAAAAAAAAATTACAAGCATATTTGTAATTTATAAATCACTACAAAATTAATAAACTGAAGGATCAGAAAGCTAAGATAGATATGGATGCATCTGTTTAAAAGTTGCCTTTCTAAATCTTAAAACGAAAAAGTTTAAACTTTACAATATACAAAGGAAAAAATTTCTAAGTAAATATTGTATGGTTTGATTAAATAATATGGAAAAGCCCAGGTAAAATGCAAAAGGAGTATATGGAAAAAAGTAGTTTTTTTTTTTTTTTTTTTTTCAGTTTTTATACACAGGCCTTTTGTTTTTTAATAGAAAAACACCTATAATGTTAAAACTCATTTAGTCACTACAAACCTTTTGGGTACTTGTTTTTGAATTCTTTTTTAACTGAAGCATAATCTTATAGAGAAATGCATAGAATATAAATGTTAAGCTCAATGAAAAACCACAAAACAAATGCTGGCATGATTCCCTTGTAGGTCAAGAGCACTGCCATGCCAGAAGGGCCCCTTCCTTTCCCCCTTCCAATCACTAGGCCTGTCATCCTCTGAAAAGGTAACCAACTAATTTACTTCCAAAAGTATAGTTTACTTTTGCCATTTTTGAACCTCATATACATACAACCATAGTATGTACTCTTTTATTAATGGCTTTATTTCACTCAACATTGTGAGATCTGTTACTTACAGATATACTTCATTAATTCCCACATATTATATTCCACTTATGATTATTGCATAGTCTAGTATATTCACTCAGTATACCATCAAGGGTTATTTGCATTATTTCCAGTTGGGACTATTACAAATAACTCTGCTACGAGCATTCTTTCTCATGTTTTGATTGTCCCACATCCTCCAACATCCCAGAAGCTTTCCTTATGCTCCTGTCTGGGGCAAAAGAACCACTCTTCTGGCCTTTATCACCATAAGTATTTATTTACGAATTTATAGGTAGTTAAGGAGTCCATCTGTCTATCCATCCACCCATTCATATGAAAGAAATCATAAATTTATGCTCTTTTGTATCTGGACTTTTTTCTCAGCATTTTATATGACTAAGCCATGGGTGTTGTATTGTCACAGCACCTCTTTTTCACTGTAATGCTGTCATCCACTGTACAAATATACCACATTTAATTCATTTTCCTGTTGATGAAAATTTAAATTGTTTCCAGTCTGGGGATATCATAAATATTTTATGAACATTCCTAAACATGTTTTTGGCACATGTAAGTACCTCATTCTCTTGAGTATACACCTATGAGTGGGTCATAGTGTATACATGTTTTAGCTTTAGTAGATACTGCCAGTTTTCTAAAGCAGTTCTACCAATTACATTTTCACCAGGAATATGTGAGAGTTCTAGCTGTTCCACATTTTTGCGAATACTTGGTATGGTCAGTCTTTTAGTTTTTGCATCCTGTTTTGGTGAAATACAGTATCTCACCGTAGTTTTAATTTACATTTTCCTGATAGCTAAAGGTACTGAGCACCTTTTCTTATGCATGTTAGTCATCTGGATATCTCTTCTTTGTAAAGTGTCCATCCTAGTCTTTTGTCCATTAAAACTTTTGAGTAACCTGATTCCTACTGATTTGCAGTTCTTTATATATTCAAGATATGAATTGTGTGTCAGATACATAAGTATTGCAGATTGACCTCCAGCCTGTGGTGTCATTTTCTTTCTATTAAGAGTATCCCTTAATAAAAAGTTTTTAATTTAAATAAAATCAATTACATCAATCATGTATTTTATAGTAAGAACTTTTTGCATCCTGCTTACCTTTACTATCCCAAGATCCTAAAATTTTCTCCCAAGTTTTCATCTAGAAGCTTTATTTTTTTTTAATCTATCACACTTAGGTGTATGGTTCATTTTTATCTATGTTGTGAGGTTAGGTTGAGTTTAATCAATTGACTCACTACTATTTATTTGAAGGAGCATCCTTTATCAAAATGCAGTGGTACCTTTAGTGTAAACCTACTTCTGCTACTGTTCCATTTGCCTGTTTATCCTTATGCCAATACCACACTGAATTACTGTAGCTTATATTTGGTGTTGATACCTGGTAGTTTTAAGTCCTCTAGCTTTATTGTTCTTCAAGATTGCTTTGGTTATTCTAGCCCTTTGTACTTTCAGATAAATTTTAGAATCTACTTTCTAATTTCTACAAATAAACCTGCTGAGCTCTTGATTAGAACTGCATTCAACTTATGGATAAATTTGGGAAGAACTGACACCTTAATATTGAATCTTCCAAGTCATGAACATGGTACCGTTTTCCCTTTAGGCATTCTTCAATTTTTCTTAGCAGTATTTGTATTTCAGTGTAGAAGGCATAAACATCTTTCACTAGATTTGTTCCTAGGTATTTTATGTATCTTCATGCTATTGTAAATGGCATTTAAATATCTTCTAATTGTGTGTGTAAAGAAAAATAACTAGTATTTGTTACTTGACTTCGTATTTAGAAATTTTAAAAATACACATTAACAGTTTGACAGATTTGACTTTTATGCATGCACAGTGACATTTGTGAATGATAATTTTAACTTCCTTTCTACCCTTTATGTCCATTTCTTTATTCTTAAAACTTTTTTACGCTCAGAGGTACATGTGCAGGTTTGTTTTATAGGTAAACTCACGCGCAGGTTTGTTTTAGAGGTAAATAGATTATTTCATCACCCAGGTACTAAGCCTAGTACCCAAGTTATTTTTTCTGATCCTCTCCTTCCTCCCATGCTCCACTCTCAAGTAGACCCCAGTGTCTGTTGTTCCCTTTTGTGTCTGGGTGTTCTCATCATTTAGCTCCCACTTATGAGAATGAAAACATGCAGTATTTGGTTTTCCTTTCTTGTGTTAGTTTGCTAAGGATAATGGCCTCTTGCTCCATCCATGTACCTGGCAAAGGACATTATCTCATTCTTTTTTATGGCTGTATAGTATTCCATGGTGTATATTTACCACATTTTCTTTATTCAATCTTCCATTGATGGGCATTTAGGTTGATTCTCATGTCTTTGCTGTTGTGAATAGTGTTGCAATGAACATATGCATGTATGTGTCTTTATGGCACAAAGATTTATATTCCTTTGGGAATATTTACGCAGTAATGGTATTGCTGGGTCCAATGGCAGTTCTGTTTTTAGCTCTTCGAGGAATTACCACACTGCTCTCTACAATGGTTGAACTAATTTACACTCCCACCAACAATGTATAAGTATTCCCTTTTCTCCACAACCCTGCCAAAATCTGTTATTTTTTAATTTTTTAATAGCCATTCTGACTGGTGTGAGATGGTATCTCACCGTGGCTTTGATTTGCATTTCTCTAATGATCAGTGATATTGAGCTTTATTTCATATGCTTGTTGGTCACATGTATGTCTTCTTTTGAAAATGATCTGTTCATTTCCTTTGCCTACTTTTGATTGGAGTTGTTTTTATCCTGTAAATTTAAGTTCTTTATAGATGATGGATAGACCTTTGTCAGATGCAGATGCAGTTAGCAAATGTCTTCTCCCATTCTGTACGTTGTCTGTCTACTCTGTTGACAGTTTCTTTTGCTGTGCAGAAGCTCTTACGTTTAATTAGAAACCCATTTATCAACTTTTGCTTTTGTTGTGATTGCTTTTGGCATCTTCACCATGAAATCTTTGCCAGTTCCTATGTCCTGAATGGTATTGCCTAGGTTGTCCTCCAGCGTTTTTATAGTTTTGGATTTTACATTTAAGTCTTTAATCCTTCTTGAGTTGATTTTTTGCATATGGTGTAAGCAGGTCTAGTTTCAATCTTCTGCATATGGCTGTTTATCCCAGCACCATTTAATGAATGGGGTGTCCTTTTTCCCATTGCTTGTTCTTGTCAGCTTTGTTGAAGATCAGATGGTTGTAGGTGTGAGGCCTTAATTCTGGTTACTCTATTCTGTTCCATTGGTCTATGTGTCTGTTTTTGTATCATATCATGCTGTTTTGGTTATTGTTGCCCTATAGTATAAAGTCAGGTAGCATGATGCCTCCCACATTTTTGTTGTTGTTGTTGTTGTTGTTGTTTGGCATAGGATATTGCTGTGGCTATTTGGACTCTTTTTTGGTTCCATATGAATTTTAAAAGTATTTTTTCTAGTTCCATAAAGAATGCCATTGGTAGTGTGATAGAAATAGCACTGA